CTATACCTTGTGGCTAATAGCCACTGATGGACCTCTGCTCCATATGCTTATCTAATTCCCTTTTGAAGCCGTCCATGCTTGTAGCCGCCACCACTTCCTGTGGCAGTGAATTCCATGTGTTAATCACTCTTTGGGTGAAGAAGTACTTCCTTTTATCCGTTCTAACCCGACCGCTCTGCAGTTTCATGGAGTGCCCACGAGTTCTTGTATTGTGAGAAAGGGAGAAAAGTACCTCTTTCTTTACCTGCTCTTTCCCATGCATAATCTTATAAACCTCGATCATGTCACCCCTCAGTCGTCTTTTCTCCAAGCTAAAGAGCCCTAAGCGCTTTAACCTTTCCTCATAGGGAAAGTGTTCCAACCCTTTTATCATTCGAGTTGCCCTTTTCTGCACTTTTTCCAAAGCTATAATATCCTTTTTAAGGTGTGGTGCCCAGAACTGCACACAGTATTCCAAATGAGGTCTCACCATTGATTTATATAGGGGCATTATTATATTGGCTGATCTGTTTTCAATACCCTTCCTAATAATCCCCAGCATAGCATTGGCCTTCTTTATTGCAGTCACACACTGTCTCGACATTTTCAGTGAGTTATCTACTACAACTCCAAGATCTCTCTCTTGATCTGTCTCTGCCAGTTCAGACCCCATCAATGTGTATTTATATTTAGGATTTTTGGCTCCAATGTGCATCACCTTGCACTTGGCCACATTGAACCCCATTTGCCATGTTGATGCCCACTCGCCCATCTTTGACAGATCCCTTTGGAGTGCCTCACAATCCTCACTGGTTTTCACCACCTTGAACAACTTTGTATCATCCGCAAATTTAGCCACTTCACTGCTTACTCCCATCTCCAAATCATTAATGAACAAGTTAAAAAGCAGTGGACCAAGTACTGATCCCTGCGGTACCCCACTGCTTACCACCCTCCACTGAGAAAATTGCCCATTTATACTCACTCTCTGTTTTCTATGAATTAGCCAGTTTTTGATCCATAAAAGGACTTGTCCTTCTATCCCATGATTTTTGAGCTTACTTGGGATTTTTGAGCTTACTTAAGAGCACTTTGCAGCACTTTGAATTAGTACCAGAGCTTTAAGAGCTCTCCAGCTGTCACCTGGAGACTGGCAACAGCTTGTTTGGAGGGTGGGGAGTATGGCATTGTATCTGTCATCCTCCTCTTCCTCCTCCTCCTCCTCCTCAGACCCCCCCTATGAGGTATGTTAAGGTTGAAAGTGTGTGAGTGGTCCATAATCCCCCAGGCAGCTTTTAAAACATGATCCTGGGGCCTACACACCACCAGACATTCCAACTGCTTTGGGGGGGGGAGTATGAGGTGTGGAATGGAGTGAAGTCCAATCAGCTTCCATATGCAAAAGACCTTGAAGGTTCCATATGCAACTGACATTCCAACTGCCTTGCGGGGAGGGGGGTGAGTTTGAGGTGTGGAATGCAGTGAAGTCCAATCAGCTTCCATATGCAACTGACATTCCAACTGCCTTGCGGGGAGGGGGGGGAGTTTGAGGTGTGGAATGCAGTGAAGTCCACTCAGCTTCCATATGCACAAGCACTCCAGTCAACCCAGCCAGCGTCTTCTGACTGACAGTTCAAGCGTCCATACACTAAAGGGGCCAAATTTAGAATGTTCAATATAGAATGTTCTTACTCAATTATATATAAGGAGAGATTCCCCAATCAATACCAGGAAACAACAAAAGGGGAGAGGGAACCCAACCTGAAATAAAATACAACTATTTATTACACAGTGCACAAAACCTTAAGATTAAAAACAACATACATAGATGGCGGCGGCGGAGCTCGGTGCTCAAGCTCCCCCGCGTTAACAGCAACTTTTGACCTGCTACGTTTGCCAGTTCGGGTAAGATAAAAGAAGAACTTGTCTACCCTGTGGAACATGCTGGATAACCCTTTGTTAAGAACAAACTCTTTGTTAAGAACAGCTTGCTGTGTGGAGAACCGGCAAAGATTCTTTCCCTCTTGGCGTGGCCTAGCACAGAGAACGGCGGCCTGGGAACTATGCCCTAGAGTACAAATCTCTCAGCCAGCAGACCTGCCTCCAGCTGGCAGCACAGGGTCGCGGAGCATTTCTTCTCTCGCGGCCCAGGTGGACGTTCCTTCCCCTGTCTTGGAGACCCTCCCGAGTCCCCCCGAATTTCAGCTTCTTTGCCACCGGAGTGGCCCAGGTCTGCCGGGTTCGGGGACCATTAGCCCATATGAGAAAAGCTGGGGCTTACCGGGGGGCTCTGTGACGCAGCGCCGGGGTTTCCCGGTGGGTGCAAGTCGATCGGGAGGGCTGTCGGCTGTGTGGAGGCTGGGGGAGAGGTGACTTGGAGTGGCGACGCTGCTGAAGGAGGTGTCGAGGAGAAGCCGACGGAGTCGATCAGGCGGCACCAGAGAGGTGAGGGCGGGCCCAGGAGTGGTGAAGCGGCTGGATGTGGAGGTGTGGAGAAGTTGGTGGAGTCGACTGGACGGCACGGGAGGAGAGAGTGTTGGACTGGAGCTGCCGTGCCCACGCCGGGTAGTCCTATGCCCTCTGGTGGCTTATTGCATCTTTTGGCTGATCCAGACGGCAGAGGAAGATCATGGGGCTGAGCTCAGTGCGAGGAAGGCTCGGAGAACAACGTGGCCCTCTTGTGGCCAGAGAAGAGAACTGTGAGCTCAGTGGATCTGATACCAGCAAGGTCTTGGGTTAGCAGCAAGGGAGCTGCTGATGGGATAGGTTATTAGAATTGTATGTGGTGTGAATATTTCTGTCTGGCTGCTGGGATGCGTGTTTGGTTGGCTGCGCTGGTTGACTGGAGTGTCAGGAGTAGTGGTAGTGGTTTTATTGCTGGGTTGCATTTAATGATATGTTTCAGTTGACCTGAGGTAGCTTAATTGTTGAGTATTTTGAGCAGCTTTGAACTGTAATTGTAATTTTTAAAATGTTTAGCAGCAGTGGAGTTTCTGGCTTTGTGTGGAGTGTTGGCGGTCTGAAGTTTTTCGGAGATGGTCAGTGGGACACAATATGGAGCGGCAGATTCCGGTGCTCTTGAGGAGGGGGAAGTTTAGCAGTGGGCCGAGGCAGAGGGAGTACGGAAGGATACGGAGAACCAGAAGAGCTCGGTGTCCTTCCAGCCTATGGCCCATCCCAAGGGTAGTTGGCAGTGGGGTCAGGATTGGTATTCCCCCTCCGTCATTGGTGTTGTGTAATGCCAGGTCCATTAACAACAAAGTCACAGTCCTACGTGATTTAGTGACAGAACATCAGGCGGACCTGGCATGCGTGACCGAGACTTGGGTGAGGGAAGGGGAGACCCTGGCTCTCACCCAGTTAGCCCCACCAGGATACTCGGTCCTTCACCAATCGCGGAAGAGGGGATGGGGGGAGGGGTGGCTATCCTCGTTCGGGAGGCTTACTCCTTCAGGACGCTCCCACCTGTAGAGATTGCGGGCTTAGAATGTGTCGGCTTGCTGCTGGGGTCTGAGGAGAGTTTGGCGATTTGGCTGGTGTACCGGCCGCCTAATGCACCGGCCGATAGCCTGCCGTCCCTGCTGGAGGCTATGTGTCGGCTTGCTGCTGGGGTCTGAGGAGAGTTTGGCGATTTGGCTGGTGTACCGGCCGCCTAATGCACCGGCCGATAGCCTGCCGTCCCTGCTGGAGGCTGTATCAGGTTGGGCATTGGATCACCCTTGACTGATTGTCTTGGGTGATTTCAACGTCCATGCTGAGGACGCGGCCTCTAG